CCAAGCGCTGTAAGGGGTACGTGGAAGTGTCCCCTCCTAAGGCCATAGAGCTAGACAGTGGCCACCCTCTTGACAGCTGCCCGCACACAGACCAGCTTCCCACCAAGTGGGACCCCCCCCCCCCCATACAGGGCGCTTCACAAACGACCTGTCTTCATGTCAACTCTGCCCAGTAGGCTCTCCTGTTCCCATTTTACAGATGGGAAAACTGAGGCTGAGAACAAGTACGAGTCTTGCCCAGAGACACACACATAGTCAGTCAGTCTCTGCCCCAGTCCCGTTTTCGCTTCCTTCATGACCCTCACCACGACTCACGATTATCTACTCCTCCATTGTCGGCAGGTTTGCTCTGAGAAATGATTCGCCGTTTCTCCCCCTCAGTGCTCGACACTTGAGGTCACGGTAGGGGGCAACGGCACAGCCAGGGTTTTGTGGTTTGCACAGGGAATCGTGAGGCGTCCCCGTGATCGTGCAAATAGGGGTGTTCTTGGAGAGCGGAATTGTAAAGTAATGCAAAGTCCTTAAAAGAAGGGAGTAGAAGCTTATGTAACTGGCCGTTGCTTTCAACAGGTCTCGGGGAAGACACCCCGGGAGGCAAGTCCGGCCCCAGGAGCACATCCTTACAGGAAATGAATGAATCCGGCTGATAACACCATTCATTCTCCCTGTTTTCATTCCTGCCTCCAAAATGACCTGGTTATAAATGTTTAGTGACTAACAGACGAACGAAGGAACGAATGAATGAACTTGATTGCCTGACAATTCCACTATACAGGGGGAGAATATGCGGACAAGTTTCCATCCATCGCTGCAATACTTCAGCCTGCACATGGTTCTGGTTCTCATGGGAAACTGATACATTAGTGTTAAGGTTTGTACATCAGTCTCTGTGAATTTGGTCATTATGAGTCAGCCCAGCCAATCCCGGTGAACATTTCAGTTCTAGTTTCAGAGCAGCCCCTGGGGGGTGGGGCTCTCACTGCTATGATGCCTTCTCAGCAGGGGGCCAGCTGGCCCTCCCGGGTGACTGCAGCCCACACCCCGGAACTCTGCTTTCTGTCCTGCCTCCGTCAACACAGAGACTGTGCAAAGCTTCTCAACAACATGCTAACTTCCTTCCTCAGCCCTATCCTGACTCTCAAGAGGTGAGCCCCGGACTGAGAGTCTGGGACTCTGGATTCAAACTCTGGCTCTGAACTCAACTGTCACGCAGCCCTGAGCAGATCCCTGGGCCTCCCGGTCTCCATCTCCCAGGCTGGTTGGTGGCTGGGACCAGGGGGCCTCTGATGACTATGGGGGAAAGGAAGGGACAGAGAAGGCCGGGCTTGCAGAGCTGGGCTGGGAAGGGCCGAGCTGCTGATCAGGAGCGTGGGGAGCAGGGCCGGCTGTGTCTACAGCGGGAACTGCGTTTCTCCCTCACACCATCAGAAGCTGTGCTCGGCGGGGGCGTTGTGGCCGGTCCCCAGGAATGAAGCTGCCCGCGTGCGCACACGCGTGTGTGTGTGGAGGGTGGGCTCAGTGAGCACCCACCATACTCTGCACACAAATGCCGGGACGCTGCTGTTCAGAGCTGGGCACAGATCCGGGAGCCCCTCCCCAGACCTGGGTCAGAGCCGGCATCCAGACCGTCCACACTACCTGGGGGCTGTGTGACCTCGAGTGAGCCTCCCAACTTCTCTGGGCCTCAGTTTCCTTTTTGGTTGACTATCAGGAGAGGAGACCCTCATTCATCCAGTTCATTATTTCATTCATTCAACCAGTCTCCCCCGGGCGGCTTCTCTGTGCCAGGCACTAGGGAGACACAGATGGTTACAGAGCCTCTCTGGCCCCATCAGAGAGGTGCTGACAAAGCTCCCACGACAGCAGGGCAAAATCCCTCCCACGTGCCATGTCATGAACATCCACGTGCCATGGAGGACAGAGGAGGTGGCTGACTCTGTGGTGCATGGGAATCAGGGAAGCCTCCCTGGGCAAGGTCACACTTGAACTGTGCCTTGAAGGATGGCTGGGAGGCTGCTAGAGGACGCGGTGAGTACTAAGGTCCTGAGGCACACGTGCAAGAACCCTCTGGTGAAGTTAAGTGCCGCGGGGCTTGTAGGACTGTGGCTGTGTGTGTCTGTCTCCTGCATGTGCTGGGAGCACTTTAAGGGTAAGATGCCCAGCTCGCCATCCTGCACCAGCCAAGAGCACAGGGCCTGGCCCAGAGCAAGAGTCCTGGGTGTGTTCTGGGTGGGCTCAGTGGACAGAGGGAGGGAGGGACGGTTCGGGTCAGGCAGGTGGACAGGAAGCCGTGTGCCCTCAGCTTCCGGAGGAAGAGTGTCAGCGGGTCTCTGGAGACTACCTCTGGGAGCGCCGGAGCCAGGAAGGTGGCCGCGTACTCGGCCAGTGCCACGTCGTCCACCATGCCCCGCGCCATCTCGGAGAGCAGGGGATCCTCGGCCCCGCGTCGGTGCAGCTCCTGCAGCAGGTGCGTGATGAGGCGGTTCCTCTCCCGGCACTTCTGGACCAGAGAAGCCAGCTTGGCCTGCAGGGGTGGGAGCAGAGGTGCTCCAGGTGGGCCCGCGGAGGCAGGGCACCCTTGGGGGCCGGGCAGCCAGGCTGGGCTCTGGGCCCTGCGCTGTACCCACCTGTGCCGCCTTAGCTCGGCCCCCTCCCTGCGCCCCAAAGCCAGAACAGCTTTGAAAAGTAGCCACACAGCCACACACCCTCAGGGGCTCCCCACTGCCCTCTGGGTGGGGTCCAGGCTCAGAGCGTGGGCCCCACCACCGACCATCTCTGTGACCAAGCTCCTCTCTACACCTTGACTTGCTCATCTGTACAGTGGTCATTGTTAAGGGCAAACGGGTTGCTGTCCCTCTGTGCCCGGCTCCAGGCTTCCTTCTATCCCCACAATTAACGTTCATATCTGTGGGTCTGTCTCCCGCGTAGCCCAGGAGCTCTTCAAGGTCAAAGCTGACATTCCCCTAGATCCCTGCACCATCTCTGTGCCATTGCTGGGCACACTATGCCCCTGGGAGGGATCTGCTGCATGAATGGTGCGAGAGGGGACCCTCCTGCATGAAATGACCTCCCACATCTGGGCATGTCTGGAGGGGGTGACAGATAGACCCTCCTCATTCGAGGGTGGCCCCGGGCGAGTCCCTTCCCTCCTGATGTGCCCTCCTGCTCCATCAGAAGAGCAGGTGACCATCTTTTCCTGCCAGGACTTCCAGCCCAGCCCAGCCCGGAGGCCCAGGAACATTCCCTAGGCAGTGATGCTTGGGACCCAGTACCGGCTGGCAGGGCAGGAGGGTGGCCTGAGCTGGAGGCCGGGGCTCCCCGGGTCCCCTGGATCGCACCACCCCAAAACATCAGGGCCTCATGCTTTCGGCCGGCACGTGCCATAGCTTCAGAGGTCAGGACAGACGGGGACAGTCCCCCTGGGTCACGCTCTCAGGCAGGAAAGCAGGACACGGACAGGGAGGTGTGGGGAAGATACTAAGCTCATTATTTTACCTTATTTTTTTTTTTGGAAAGGGACATCGCGTATCGATCTCACAGACATCGTTACCTTCAAAGGAGCCACGGCCGAATTTGCCTCGTGTTGCTTTCTCTGAAGTTCCTCAAGCTGAAAGAGAACCAACATGGTTGATAACGCCGAGCCCCCGTTGACACAGCCTGAGCCTCCCCAGGGGAGCTGGGCTCAGAGAGGTTGGCTCTGGTCCCCTCTCTTCCCACAGTGGCGGGGGGGGGGGGGGGGGGGGGGGGTGGTGGTTCTCAGTGGGGAGCGGGGGCCTTGCCCGTCACCTGCCCGGCGAGATCTGGGCGGGGAAGGATGCTCTGAGCGCTACGAATGAGCTCTGCCAGATTGCAGGTGCCCGGCCAGCTCTGTTCCCTCTTCCTTCCAGAAGGAAGCCTTCCCGGATTCCCCATGAAGCGATTTTTTTTTTGGTGCTGTGTTAACCTCTGGGAATCCGAGCCAGACACCCTGGGTCCTAATCCTGGCTCAGCCACTCACTACCACTGTGACCTTGTGCAAATCACCTCTCTTTCTGCCTCGGTCTTCTTGTCCGTAGAGTGGGCGTCCTATCAGAGCCCACCCAATTAGTGAGGATTGCAGTGAGGAGTCCATGAATTGTCCCCTGTGAAGTGCTTAGAACATCCAGTTAGCACTCACTGAAGGTAAACCATTATTACGAACTGGCAGAGGCACCAGGCACGGGAGGAAAGCCACCTCGGACCCTCCAGCCTCGCCCCACACACAGCTGAATACCAGCAGGTGACTCCCATCAATGCTTTGTGGGACGGAGCCATCCAGCCGCGTCCCGTCCAAACTGCTGACCCACCAAATCATAAGACAGAACGAGAGGGCTGCTGTGTCAGGCCTTCTGCCTCACCCTCTCGTTCCCTCTGTAGTCGGCACAAAGAAAGCTACACAAATAAAAGTCCTTTTTCCTCTTCCCGACCTCCTCTGACCTCTAACGCCGTTCTCAGCCTTCCATATCCGCCCTCACAATGCCTACACATGCGAAACTGTGCTATTCAAATGTCTTACATCTTGGATTGCCGTCTGATGTTAAATCATCGTGTTGTCTTGGGCCACCTGGGCGGCCCCATCAGTTAGGCGTCTGACTCTTGATTTCAGCTCAGGTCATGATCTCATGGTTCCTGAGATCGAGGCCCAAGTTGGGCTCTGTGCTGACAGCACGGAGCCTGCTTGGGATTCTCTCTCTCTCTCTGTCTCTCTCTGCCCCTCCCCAACTCCTTCCTGTGTTCTCTCCCTCTCATAATAAATAAATAAACATTAAAATAAAATAAAATAAAATAAAACCATGGCATTATTTCTATGTCATTTCATACAAACGGACCATGTTCTTTTAAAATCTTGCATATTATTTCATCACGAGGCTGACACATAATCTATTTAACCGATTCTCTGTGAAAGTTTATATTGTTTCTTTGTTTCACAGACAGGCTTCAATGAACATTTCCATATAGCTATTTTTTGGCATATACCTTCCTGAATGTAATCAAAGTGTAAAATACCAGCTCCAAGCCGACCGTCTTGCATTCAAAAGGCACTCAATAATATTTGCAGGCTTGGATTCAACCATGTCTCTGCTTCCGCTTAGGAAATAGCAAGAATGTGTTGCTGGGCGCCGTGTGGTGGGGCATTTGCCATGAAAACGTGAATGAGAAGAGAGTAAACAGACAACAGGTGGGAGAAAATACCACCGGGGAAATGTAAATCAAACCACACTGAGACACCACGTCGTGCCCACGGGGATGGCGATCACCAAACAGACAGTAGGGAGCGTCGGGGAGCTTGCGGAGAGGTTGGGGCCTCGAACCAGCAATCAGAGACCCATCTTAAGGTAACTAAGTGAGACTGAAAAGTTCCATCATCATATTACAAGAATTTCATCATTGAGCTGAAAACTATAAGAAAAGGAACCAAATGGAAATATGAGGACTGCAACATACAATCCCTGAAATTAAGAACTAAAATAATGAGTTTATGAGTAAACTCAGTGCACCCGAAAAGCATTAACTAGAAGATGGGTTAGGAAGAAATATTCAAACTGAAGGACAGAGAGAGAAAAAAGATTGAAAATCATGAAAACCAGACTTCAAAATACATTGGATATGGTAAAAAGCCCTACCATGTGTAGGGGGGTTATATTTCTCACACCTCAGTGACAGGAGGGAAAAGGGATGGTCCCTCCCTTGCTGGCTGAGGCACAGTGAAAAACACTGGTTATTGCCTTGGCTTTGGAAGCAGGTGACAGTGCCGTGGAAAGGCATTCTTCAATATCTGTTAAGAATCAATAACATCTCCACTCGGGACCAGTACGCCCCCAGTTCTCTGAGCTCTTGCATATAAACAGGAATTTATAAATGAATGGAAATAACCATAGATCCAACAACTGGGGAATGAACATCGCACCCAGCCGATGGATTACCACACAGGAAAAAAAAATTGGGTACAAAGGCTATGAAGCAACGTGGACATAAGGCTAAGTATAGTATAAATGCATCTGATTATACAGAGACTGCACGGGAAAGGAGCCAGAAATTACATCACAATGTTGATGATGTGTTTTCCATCCATCAGCTTGTCAAAAACATGTAAAGTGTGATAACATTCGGGGTACCAAGTGTGGGCAAACACTAGCCTCATTTATTCTTGGTGGAAGCATAAATGATGTAGTCACTTTGGAGGGTTCTTTGCCTTTATGTTTCAAAGCCAATTATGTACATATCCTTTGACCCAGTAATTATTCTGCTAGAATGTTACCCTTTGCATATGTAGCAGAAACATATCCTAAGACAGGGGTATAGAAAGGTTCACTGAGCTTTGTTTGTAAAGCAAAGAAAAGAAACAATTTGGATTTCCATAAACAAAGCATTGGTTAAATAAGTTATGGTTTGGCCTCTTGAAAAAATAATATGCCAGATTTAAAAAAAAATTTTTTTTAACGTTTATTTATTTTTGAGACAGAGAGAGACAGAGCATGAACAGGGGAGGGGCAAAGAGAGGGAGACACAGAATCTGAAACAGGCTCCAGGCTCTGAGCTGTGAGCACAGAGCCCGACGCGGGGCTCAAACTCACGGACCGCGAGATCATGACCTGAGCCGAAGTCGGCCACTTAACCGACTGAGCCACCCAGGCGCCCCATATGCCAGATTTTTTAAAGATGAGGTCAGTCTGTAGGTGTTGATATGGAAATATTACCAGTATTTTTATTAAATGATAAAATCAAGGCGCAGAATATTTTGGGGTGGTATAATTTCACTTTTGTGTATGCCTCCATACATACACCAAATATGAGTAGATAAGGCTGAAAAAAAATACTGGAGGTCAGAAGGGGTTGGGGCCAAAGGGGGGGAAGAACTAATTTTTTTTTTTTGCATTTTAAGAAAATAGCTAATTATAGATCTACATGCACTTGTAAGTAATAATACAGAGAATTTTGCCCTGTTTCTGCCAAGGGGAGCATTTTGTAAAATTACTGTATGTGACAACGTTATCATGTCGATTACACTGACGCTGGTATAATCTTCCAATATTAGTCAGGTTTCTTCAGTTCTACTTGTACTGTGTGTGTGTGTGTCTGTGTCTGTGTGTGTGTGTGTGTCTGTGTGTGTGTGTCTGTGTGTGTGTGTGTGTGTGTGTGTGTGTGTGTGTACTAAGTTCTATGCAATTTTATCACCCGTGAACATTCACATCTCCATCATGACGGACAAGACAATGAACAGGGGATGCTCGCTTCATTCCTACAGAGGAAGGACTTTTATTTACGTAACAGTTGAAAACCTGTTAGACTTTTTAGGAAACCATTATGCGTATTTACCACCTTTAGATGGAACAGAAGTCAGCTGGGTGGAGGGATTCCTTCCCCACACCGTTCTTTACTTGAGACATCTAATAAATACTCGCAAACCGCTGGGAATGGTGACGTCTTGCCTGATTCTTCTATTCTCAAAACTCCCCGGAGCCTGGGAACGTTTCATTCACAGGCGGGAAAGAACCTGTGGGCCCAGCCTACCTCGCCCTTGAGCTGGTCCCGGAGGCGGGTGGCTTCCCCATGTGACACCTGCAGTACCCGGTGGGCAGAAGCCTGGTCTCTGAGCTGGCACCGCAGGGTCAGCACCTGGTGCTGGAGGTGCCCAATGCACAGCCTGAGGTCCTCTTTGGGGGCGTCTGTCTCCGTGCCCTGCAGTGGCAGAAATCACAGATCACACGAAATGCTTAGGTTAGCTTATCTTCCAAAGCAACTTGCCTTAGCAAACAAACAGGATCCGTTTTCTTTCTTAATTCTTTTTCTGCCTACGTTTTTTTTCTCAAGTGAAAAATTTCAGAAAATAAAGTGGCAGAAGTCACCCCACATCCTATTAGCCAGAGTAACCATTGTGATCATCCGTGTATTTTCTCCAGTCTTTCTGCTATGCCCTTCCTTACGCATGTGTGTGTGTGTGTGTGTGTGTGTGGCCCATGCTGGGAATCAGGGTGTTGGGGGAGTCTAGAGAATTAGAGAATAACATTCTCGAGTGTGATTTTCAAGAGACACATGTATCTATCTATATCTTTTGCATATATTTTCAAAAATACGTAAAATGGCATGGCATTCCAGAATCTATTTCAATCAATTTCGGTCACCACTCCGCTGAAAAAAAGTATAATGAATGGAATTTAAGGTTCAAATCCAATTACGAGATGCTTATCACATTAAAGCATCATCTGTTGATATAAAAGAGGATACTGCATTTTCCCCACTTTTCTTAAATCAGTACAAAATTGTCTCTCACTCTTTTTGGGTCAGACATGGGCAGCTTTCATACGGACGTTATGGGGAACTTCTGGGAGGCAGCAAGATGGGAAGGAGAGGTAATTTAGCACTCTGGGAAGGGTGATTAAATGACAGTGACGCTACGTCCCCCGATGGTTCTGGACTCTACAGTTTTATTTTCTAGTAACTTCTATACGGAGACACACTCAGGCACGCACACACACACATTCTTTTCTACACAACATTGAACACACCGTGTATTTTGCATCCTGCTTCTCCCCTTTAATACCACACCATGAGCATTCTTCCAAATTAGTAAAGAATACTGAAAACACTGTGTTAGCACACGGGAAGCCTTCTGCACCGTGCTGGAGGTGCAGGTCATGCTAAGATTCTGCTGCTGTAACCGAGGCCGTGATAGAGACTCTGACACACGGCTCCTGCCCAGACTCTGAGCCCTTCCGTGGGATCACCAGGGAGGGGGTTTTCTGGGTCCAGGACCCAGAGTATCAAGAAGTTCCCAGTTCCCATGCGAAAGTGTGGCCTGTGAAGGAGCAAATCTGCTAATCACGGCTCCATTCGCAGGAGCCCAGGAGCTCAAGGCTTCCTGGACCCTCGTCCTCACTGGGGTGGTCCACCTTCCAACTAAGGCAGCCGCCCTGGGAATCTGAGGCCTGGGAAGGCCATGCCTGCCTCGTGCTCCTGGCCCCGGGTGGTGAGCCATCCTGCCGGGTGAGGAGAGAGAACACCGTGCTGAGGACACAGCCTGCCCCACGGCTGATGAGGCCTCCGCCTCGTTAGCAAGGAATCCAAGAGCAGGATGTGGTTTTCTTCTAATTAATAGAAATTCACAGAGCGTGGGCCTGAGACGCACAGGCTGGGCCCTGTCAAGAACAGATGGGTTCTCCGGATGGCTCCATGAAATCCGGCTCTAAGACTTGCAAAACAACTTGGCCTTTCTGGGAAGTTTGGTGCCTTCGCTGTGTCCCCCCCCCCCCCCCACAGCCCCCCCCTCCCCTCCAGGACTTGGACGAGGGCTTTGCCCCAAGGATCCTGAGAGAAAACCCCCCGCGCGTTCTAAAGAGAATGCACATGTGGGGTGGGGGCCAGCAGCCTGGTGAACGGCCCCGTGACCCACTTGTTCCCTAACAGACTATCGGCACAGGCTCCAGCCACACGCCGTACTTGGGCTGAGAGCCACAGTGCACATGGCCCTCTGGGAGCTCTGTCTGCAGGGGGGGGACTGGCAGGGCGTGGTAAGGGGAAGGCCAGGAGGCACTGAACCAGAGGCACCCGCTGCCACCCAGGCGGGCGGTGGCGAATGTGGTCACAACTGCTCTGTGGGCGGGTCAAGGGCCACACAAATCTGTAGCATTTGCCGATTTCCGTGGCGTAAAGGTCCCCACTGTGAGCCACGACACGCTATGAAAATGGCATCACGCCTCCACCCTGAGGCCGTCCTGGGGTGCCAGGAGGAGATGCCCCCCAAAAGAAGACCCCGCAGATGAGCCACAGGTCCCAGGAGGAAGTGGGGTAGAGGAGGGGCAGAGCAAGGACGCCAGCGTGCAGAGGGTAGGACGTATGCAGCAGTAGCCAAGGCTCCCGGGCTCACGATCCGCCCGAAGGAAGGTGGAGTTCACACCAAGTGCAAGAGGGAAGAGGCAGAAGGGTTTTAAGCAAAAGAACACCACAATCGGGTTTTGACTTAGGATGATGGAAAGGGGAGGCTTCCTCATGCTCTGCCTCTTGTGCATCCACAAACCTCCTTTCTTTCGACTCTGGTTCTTGTCTGGAATCCTCCCTTCTTTCAGCTCCAAATTCCTCCGCCCTGGCATCAGGTCTTGGCATCATCTCTTGACTGCAAAGTCGTCTTGACTGTTCCCCTGCATCCCCCTGGCCCTTTGCCTCACAGCACACAGTGATCTTTTTACAAAAGAAATTGAACCATGTTGTTCTCCTGCTTAAAACCCGCCAGCGGCTTCCCATTGCACGTACAAAGGATCCTAACGGGGGCCTGCAGGCTGTCCCCCCTCTGCCCCATCTCACACCACACCCACCCTTGCCCACGTGATCCCACCACGCTGGCTCCTCTGTCCTTCCAGTGAGCCAGGCTCACTCCTGCCCCAGGGCCTTGCCACTTACTTCTCCCTCTGCCTGAAAAGCTCTCTGCCTGTTGCTCCTTTCCCACCTTGAAATGCTCAGCTTGATATTCCTCCCCTCCGATTCCAGTCCCTAGCAGGTCTGACCGGCTGAGATTGGACAGCTACAAAATCTGGGGAAATGCATAAAGCAATTCTTTGCGAGCATTGAGTGGCAGCCGAGGCAGGGCTACAATCCTGGAGGGAAAGGATGTACATCAAGGTGAGCTCCATTTCTCCCTGGATTTCTCTCTGGAGCATTTTCCAAAGCCTGGGTCAGGAGTGGAGCCCAGGCCGTGCGGTGGTCCTGCTAGATGGAGGGCTCAGAGGCGCTCTGATATCTGGGTCTGGGGAACAAAGTAACAGGAAGGAGAGAGCCTGGCACTGCCCTGGAAATGCCCCCTTGGGTCCTTGGCTGAATCCTAAGCTGAGCAGCATAGTGTGGGACTCTGGGGCCTCGCAAAGGAGAGCAACTGGTCGGCCAATTGCTGAAGAGACTTCAGCGGTCACACACCGTCACCAAGTTGGCAGACTTTTGGCCAAGCCCCAGTTGAGCGTCCTCGGCAAATACTCAGGGGCCTCAGCTGCTACCACTGAAAGTCCGGGACCCAGGAGCAAGGTCCACACCATAGGAGGACAATCAGGCCCTAGGACGGGGTTGAAACTCACATACACCTGCACAGGAATGATACGGTCTGCTGATCATCCCACGACCTGCCAGAGGAAGACACACTCAACATCCTCTAGAGGGAGCTAACGATCAGGAGTCTCTATCACATCTCATCCTACACGATGTCCAACATACAAAAGTTTCTGAAAATTACCAGACACATGAAGAAGATGGAAAACGGGACTTAACCAAGAAGATAACCAAAGATCAACCAAACAGTTGATAAAAATAGACCCAGAGATATCTAGATATTGGCATTAGCAGACAAGACCTCCAAAATATAGGAAAGATTGGGGTGCCTGGGGGCTCGGTTGGTTAAGCATCTCACTTCAGCTCAGGTCATGATCTCATGGTTTGTGGGTTCGAGCCCCACGTCGGGCTCTGTGCTGACAGCTCGGAGCCTGGAACCTGCTTCGGATTCTGTGTCTCCCTCTCTCTCTGCCCCTGCCCTGCTCGCACCCTGTCTCTCTCTGTCTCTCAAAAATGAATAAATGGTAAAAAAGATTTTTTTAAATATAGGAAAGATAGACAAAATGAATGAAAACATGGGAGTATTTCAATAGAGAATCAGAATCTCTTTAAGAAGGATAAAATGGATATTCTAGAGCCAAAAAATAGAACAAATGAAATGAAGAACTCATAGGATTGAATTATCAGAAGATAGGACACAAGAGAACACAGGATTAGTGAACTAAACACAGGTCAATAGAACATCCAAACTAACGCACAAATATTTTTTAAAAAGGAAGAAACAGAACAGTTTCCAAAGATATGGGATAGAGTAAAAAACTCTGGATATCCAGGAAATGAGAGAAAAATAGGACAGAACAACATATTTGAATAAATAACGACCCCAAATTCTCCACACTTGATAAAAAAAACCCTTGAATCTACCATTTTAAGACGCTCACAAAAATGCAAGCAGGATAAATATAAATAAAACCACACCAGGCACATCATAGTCAATTTGCCAAAACCCAAAGATAAAAAGGAAATCTTAAAGCAGTCAGAGACAAAATAACACATGTATTTCAGAAAAACAAAACCAAGCAAAAAAAAAAAAAAAAAAAAAAAAAAAAAAAAAAAAAAAAAAAAGAACTAGGATAAAAACAACCAATTTTTGAACAGAAGCTATGGGAGCCAGAAGGCAATGAAATGAGATCTTCAAAGGGCCAAAAGAGGGGGAAATATCTGCCTACCTAAAATTCTAAATCCAGATCCTCACCAGAAGAAATAACCAAGTTCTTTGGACAGAAGGAAAACAGATCCCCAGGACTGAATGCACAGCTCAGACACGTGAGGACATGTGGGGAAACGTAGATCATTGCTGGCTTCAAACAACAACAGTAACAACGCCTCATGACATTTATTAGACAGAGACATAATATATATGCTAAAAATGAAGAAAAGAAGAAAGAGGAATGGAGATAAACTGTTAAAATTTTTGCATTAATCATTAATAATTATTCACTTATTTGGGACTTCTGCATTACCTGCTAAAAGTACCAATGTAAGGTACATTTAAATAATTAACAGGCACACTTTGAAATCTCTAGGGCAAATACTGAAAAAATGAGGAACAGAATGAGCTAACGGAGAAGAAAAATGAATAATAGAAAATATTTATGAATACCAAAAGCAAAGGCCAGAAAGGAGAAACAGAACAGAACAGACAAAGAGAACAAAAACCCAATTCTATCATCACATGCGTGAAATGTACGTGGACCAAACACCTGAACTGAAAAGCAGAGGCTGTGGAACTGAGCTAAGTGAAAACACACCAGTCGCATGCTATTTCGAGGATGCCCATGGGTTGAATGCAAAAGGATGAATGGTGTACAAGAAGTTGAGGATTCCATGAAAACACTAAGGGAAAGAAGCTGATGTGCCTACTTTAATGTCAGACAAAGTATAATTTGGGCAAGAAGGCTGAGAGATAACGAGGGACACTTCATCACGATCAAAGAATCAAGTCAGCAGGAAAACGTAATTTTAAGTCTGCGTGTATCTTATAAATAGTTTCCACGGGCACCTGGGTGGCTCAGTCGGTCGAGCGTCCAACTTCGGCTCAGGTCACCATCTCACAGTTTCGCGAGTTTGAGCCCCTCATTGGGCTCTGCGTGGACAGCAAGGAGCCGACTTCAGATCCTCTGTCCTCCTCTCTGTTTCTCTCTCTCTCAAAAATAAATAAACGTTAAAGAAAATTTCCAAATATATGAATCAAAACTAATATAACGCCAAGAAGAAATACACAAATGCACACTCAGAGATTGCAAACGTATCTGTGTAAATAACAAAACACATGGACAAAATGTTGGTGAAGACACAGAATATCTGATTAGCACAATTAACCACCTTGGACTGATCACAATCCTCAAGAACTCTGGAATAGTCACTCCTTACAAGGACCTCCAGGATACCTACCAAAATAGACTATAACCTGGTCGCTAGAACAAATCTCAAACTTTAAAACAATATAGTGTATGTTTTCTGGCCACAGTGAAATAAAACTACAAATAAGTAACGAAAACATAACCAAAAAAGTCAGCAGGTGCTTGGGAACTCAGCAACACGTTTCTGAATAACCCATGGGCCAAGAGAGACACCGCAAACAGGAATTAGAAACTACTTTGAACCAAATAGACATAAAGCACAACATATCAAAATGTGGGGAACGTAGCTGAAACAGGGCTCAGCGAGCATTGCAAAGACTTAAGTGCACAGATCACAAAAGAAGAACCTGCTGAAAATAAACGATCTAAGCTTTCAACACAAGACGCAAGAAAAAAAGCAGCCAACTAAGTCAAAACAAAGTGGAAGAAAGGGAGCGATTCTGTAAACAGAATCCGGTGAAATAAAATACAGACATACAATGAAGAAAATCAGCAAAACCCAAAGAGAATCCTTTGCAACGAATGACAAAATTGCTGCAGAGAGAGAGAGAGAGAGAGAGAGAGAATATGGGTCAAAGGGCTCAACGCTAGATGTCTTAACAGATATGCGAGACCACCGTGAGTGATGAGCATTTCTTCCTGCGATTCCTGAACATCGATTACCATCCACACGTGTGGACAGTGACTCGGGGAAGCCCATGTCTTCGCCAAATCACAGACGTGGTTAAGTACAGAGCTGGGTTTGACCTCAGAGTGAGTCCTAAAGCCTCTGTTCTTTCCATTGTCCCTTTCAATACCCAATGCAGAGCCTGATGGAGGTGTTAGCCAACCTATGGTGGTGATTGTATTGAAACATATAAATGTTTCAAGTCAACACGTTGTGTACCTTAAGCTTATACAATGTTATATGTCAATTATATCTTTAAAAGAGAGAGAGAAAGAGAGAGAGAGACTCAATGTGCAGAATTAGGACCTGGACTGCTTGAAAATCTCCTGGATCTGAAAATATGAGCTCTTTTTTTAAAAAACAAAAGAATTTTTTTAATGTTTACTTATTTTTTGAGAGAGAGACAGAGTGTGAGCGGGGGAGGGGTAGAGAAAGGGAGGCACAGAATCCGAAGCAGGCTCCAGGCTCTGAGCTGTCAGCACAGAGCCGGACGCGGAGCGTGAACCCACGATCTGCGAGATCATGACCTGAGCTAAAGCTGGACACTTAACCGACTGAGCCACCCAGGCACTGCTGAAAACGTGAGCTCTGATGTTAAAGCTGAACACGGCCCCCTCCGCCGCCATCCCACCCGACACCTGTCTAAACAGCCTGAGCAGAGGGGCAGGCTTGTGTCTCAGGTTGTGCACAGGAAGGGGCCGTCCGGGTGGGAGTCCACCCTTCCTGCGACCTGACGGCCCAAGTTATTTAAAGTTCCCTGTGCCCGCGTTCTCGCATCTGCTAAATGGGGACGATGATCGTCCCTCCTCCGAGGGCTGCTGGACGCTCACCTGAGGAAAGGGGACGCTCTGCACTCTAGAAAGTTAGCAAGATGATGAGAAGGCAGCGATTCAAGATCAACCTACCTGGGGGCCGTTGCTTGCCCTCAGAGCTCGCCCTGGGTCTGCAGAACACCATGGTCTTTTCTCCTCCTTTTCCAAACGTGCTTCTCTCGCTCCTGCTCCGTCGATGTTTCCTCGCGGGGCACTGGATACCTCGGCACTTCCCCCCACCAGTGACGAAGCGGCTGAATTGCCATCATTTCTGGAATTCTCCGTGCATAAGGAAGGCCCCATCCACCTGCCAGCCAGACCTGGTTTCTCCTCCAAGGGCGGCCCGTGGGCTTCTGCGGTCAGTTGCCCTGACAGCTGAGTCACCTGCACCCCCCTTTCCACAGCACCCTCCTTGCCCCCCGCCATCTTGCTTTCCCCCTGCGGACCCTCCTCCGCTCTCACCAAGCGGCCCCCAGCTGTGCTGGCCCCCAACGCGACTTCTGTCTCCAGGACGCGGATCCTGCTCAGAAGATGGGCGTTCTCCCCCCTGAAGGCCTGGACCGTGTCTTCTATCCCCACCACCACGCCCTTCATCAGCTCTTTGTAACTGACCCCGAGCTCCGAGATCAGCGCCTTGAGCTCCTGGTTTTCCATTGTGACGTGCTCCATCACACCCTTGGATTTTCTGGCGCTCTCGGCCGTGGCTCTCTGAAGCTGGGCCAGGCACCCTTTCAGCTGCTCGTTCTCCTCTTCGAGCTCGGAAATTTTGCCGTAACTTTTCCCGTTGCAGTCTTCCAGGTCAGAAACGACCTGCCGGTATTGGGCCAGCTCCCTCTTCAAGAGCGCAATGTCTCCGACCAGCATGCTGTTGTCCTGTTCGAGGACCGCCATCTTGGTCACATTTCTCTCCCTCTCTTCCTCGAGGGCGCACACTTTTCGACGGCATCTCTCTCGGTCGCCCCGCAGCTCGGCGTTGTCACGTAAAACTTGGCTTCTCTCTCGTTTCAGCCCAGAGATGAGCCGGTGAAAGCTTCTCCTCTCTTCTTCAAGGGCTCTCAGTGGCTGGGAGGGCTGGTTCCCACCCAGCTCGGAGGGCCACTCTGGACCCGGACCCACGTCATCTGAATCAGGCACCATCCCTGGGAGAGCGGTGCTGGTCCCCAGGACCTCCGTCCCGCCTGGTCCGACCTCTCTGGCCAAACAAATATCCGAGCCCTGGTTTGCCAAAGCCTGCTGGGAGTGAGCATTCTCCGGGGGGCTGTGCTGCTTCCGAGCCAAACTCTTGCTTCCTCCGGCCGGCATGGAGGTTGGCCACCATCGCCCCCCGCCCCCATGCTGCAGGATGGAGAGTTGCTGGGAAGAAGCTTCTGCCTCCTTCCCAAATTCATCTCTTCTGAGCTCAGACCTGTCAGGTTGTTGGCTCAGAGCCCACGGATCACTGATCGTAGGTTCAGTTCCCCTGGGTGGAAAGGCCGATCGGGGAGACAGTGTCAGACCTCCCTCCGCCACCGGGGAGAGCGTTTCCTGGTGCTCACATTCCTCGGGGCCAGGCTCCCCTGGGACATCCCTGTGGGCCAGACGAGACCCTTCTAGAGGCGGTGCTTTCTCCTCCTTCTCTCCTTGCCTTTGGTCCCCAGGGCTTTCCTCTTGCAGATTCAGAGCATTTGCAGACCACACGAGCGTTTCCTCCTCGCCCTGCCCTGCAAGGAGCTGAATGCCTCCCGGACTTGGCCTCTGGGAGCCCTGGGCCCTGGCTGGGGGGGCCTCTTCCTCCTCCGGTGACAAAAGCCCTCCCTCCCTCCACCTCCTACTCAGGGGTGCGGGACCCTCAGTTGACACGGGGGCCTCCTCCTGCAAAAGAGGCCATGGGAGCTTTGGCCTGGGCCAAGGGCAGGAGACAGAGGCCTGGGTCTCTGAGGCCCTGTTCTCGACCGGCTGGCCCTCTGGGGCTCTGACGCCGTCCCCCGGGCTCGGGTTGTCTCGGCTTTCCTGACTTAGCTTGCTCTCGTCACCAAGGTCTGCCTCCTTCCTGCCCCGACTCCTCCTCGCCCCCAGCTCCTCGGTTCTCCACTCTGGGGGCCCTCCTCCCTCCTTCCAAGCGCCTTTCACATCTCTGGGTGACTTGAATTTGTGACTTGAGATCTGGGGGGGCTCGTGGCAGAGGGAGGCATTCTGGCCCCTTCTCCAGTGGGGATTCCGGCAGGTGGGTCCTCCGGCTCTGGGAGCAGGTGGGAACCTGGCGTCCAGCATCCGTCGCATCTGGGATTCTTGTGGAGAAGCCTCCCGGAGCAGGAGCAGCGGCGGCAAGGAAGGGGGGTCCCCGGCCGGCCCCCAGGGAGGGAGTGTGGACGTCTGCACCAGGACCTGGGCAGCTGCTAGCCTCTGCTCCGAAATCCCGGCCAGCTCCACGGGGAGGAGTGAGCCATCCCTGTACTGGCCGGGGGGGCAGCCACAGATGAGGAGAAAAGTCTGCGCATCCAAGCTGGGCTCAGCCAGAGTCCACTAAGGATGGGAAGAGAAGAGAAGAGAAGGGAAGGTGTGAAGCGGCCCCTGCCTCTCTTTAGTCCCCCACACCTCTCAGACCTCATCTCCTGATGCTCTTGGTGCTTCCTCACCCAGCCACACGGGCCTCCCTAGCACACCAAGCCTGGTGCCACCCCAGGGCCTTTGCACCTGCTCTTCCCTCTGCCCAGAATATCCCTCCCCAGATCCCCTCGTGGCTTACTCTCAATCGATGCATATCTCTGCTCAGACGTTACTTCCTCAAGAAGCCCCTGACCGTTTCCCCACACGGTTCATGTTCTCTTTTACTGTGCCCCCCTCCCCACATCCCGCTGCACATCTATGTGGGCATCGTCTAACGCCCCTCAGCCCTGCGTGTCCAATACGGTAGCCACAGGCCACCGGCCACCAGCCACCGGCCACATTCCAAGAGCACCGGACATTTCCGTCGTCGTGGGAGATCTAGGGGACAGGGCGGGGCAGGGGCCCTGGGCCTAGACCAGTGCCGGCCCGCAAGACATGCTAATTCAGTGCATGTATCCAGGGAGGAGACTGGGCCAGCTCACAGGCTGGGCTGGGGAGGGGCTGCTAGGAGGGAGGGGGGCCTGGGAGGGGCAACTTGGCTCCGTGCAGCCTGACTGACCCGCGGCCCCGGGCTGGGGACCTGCCCACTCCCCACCCAGGTCTCAGGCTGTTACAGTGCATCCCCTGGAATCTCCCTCTCAGTTAGTTCCAGAACGTTCTTCCAAGCCCTTCTTGAGCCCCTTCTCCCGCTGCCCATGCGCAGTAGGGCTGGAGCCCCGGGCTGGCAGAAAGCCTCTGACCTCACCCGTCCACGGTCAGATCCTGGGACGTCTTCCAGGGTCTCATCTGTGGCCTCCAGGCCTGCCACCACAACACAGGGGCCTCGCCCGGCCCCGACACGGTCCCGGGAGCAGCACGCCTCGGAGGGCTGGCCTGGGAGGCAAGAGGACCCCAAGAGTTAAAGAGACCCTCCTAGGGGTTTTCTCACAACTGTTGGCAGTGACTGAGCCCCCTGCACGTGGGAGGGCCCGGCTCTTCTCACGGACTCACGTCCTCCGAGCCCCAGAGACAGCCAATGGCCGCAGCCTGCCAGGCGAGGAAACTGAGGCTCGCGGATGGGGAATGACTGTCGCCGATGAGCAGCAGGTCGGGTCTGGAAGCCACCTGTGCTGACCACAAAGCTCACGCAGGTGACGAATACCTGC